TTCCTCATGAGCATATAATAAATTTCATACCATCTCATGTAATATGAAAAATATAAATGCAAGTTCCCAAGTGTTTTCAAATCCAACAATTTCAACCCATTTTCATTTCTTTTCAAACTGTTGCCCAAAAGTATCAAAATTCCATCTTCTCATGTCTATCAATAATTTCCAACAGTAACACTGCAATAAAGCTCATTTATATAAAGGAATCAAACATATTAAGCAATTTAAAACAATAAACAAGTATAAATAAGCATTTAAAGATAACTTTGTTAAAATGAAAGTTAAGGGTTTAGATTCTTCCACTCACAATTTGAAGCTCGACCCTTAAGCCGAAAAATGATTGAAATCTTCTAATAATGCCCCCGCTTGCCTCCCTATATACAAAATCCAACAAATCCTCCATACATAAGTCCCCATAAGGTAACACCTCAATATTAAAATCATTAGACACTTTACACACCAAAAGGTTAACATAACTTCTTTTTTAACAAAACTGTCTCATAATCGAACATTGGTCGCTCTCAGATTTTTCTTAAAAATTCCATTTATCATTTTAAGCCATAATTTTAACAGGGCGTTCTAGAGACACATAAGTTGTTCCCATAATTTTCTCAAGTCAAACACAATTTTCTTTCAACTCATTCAAATCTGTCCCCCTGTTTCCAGAATTGAGGTTACTGAATTGAAAAATTCATAACAATTCAGCCCTTAATCCAAACCTCACGAAATTCTCCAGAATTAAACTAGACACATATAGGATTCACCGGAATTTAAAATCACTCAATTTGGATAAGAATAGATGCATCAAATCAATTTCCAAAAATACATGTTCTGCAGAAAATGAAAATTCCAGAATTCACAAGGCAACTTAAAAAATCCATATAAAATTCAATCCTTCGAGTTTTTAAGTGAAATAAATTTCTAAACACTCCTCAAGAAGTCTATAACAACATATCCAAAATTCAGCTTCAAAAAAAAACCCAAAACATACAAACAATTTTCGGAGTTCCAGATGGTCAGATTTATGTACAGTAAACCCTTACATCAAAAATCATATCTTTAACCCATTTTTGTTTAGAAACAACCTCTATGTTCTACCCACACCAAATTATTAAAATCAATCTCCCTATTATACTGCAATCTCATGTCATTACACTCAATAATAACCAACACAAGCTAATGAACTAAAACTCATCAAAAAAAGGAAATTTTAACCTTTACTCACCTCCCATAAGCTTGATCTTCCTCCACTCTCAGATCATCGGAGTTTTGCTCGCCGGCGGCCACTTTTCCAGCCACCTCCGTCAGTCTCTTATCTCCTCTCTCTCTCTCTCTCTCTCTCTCTCTCTCTCTCTCTATTCTTGGTTTCATCTTTCTCTCCCTTTTTTCTTTTCTTCTTCCTTTCCTTCTCTTCTTCTTCTTTCTCTCCTTTTTCCTTCTCTCTTTTCCGAGAAAATTTAACTGACCGGCCATCCCAAGTTTGGATTTAAAAAAATGGCCTTGAAACTATTTACCATTTTTTATTTATTTAGAGAAGCTGACGTGGCACAGTTAGGAGCCATTAAACATGTAAAATGGGTTAAAATGAAAAGATTAAAACATATAAGGACAAAAATAATTAAAGAAAGTTTTTAAAATTTGAAATTTACAAAAGAGCCCCAAATATTCAAATCGCTTAATCGAAACCAATTAAGGCAAAAATCGATATCTTCAATCCCTAAACGCATCTTAGCAATTTCCGGCGATATCAGTCCACATTTCGGCGATAACAGTCCACAATCCGGCGAATTTTCACACCCAAATTCAATCCTAAAGCTTCTTCCTTTCTTAAAACTATGGCTGACTTTAACAATGAGGAGGAAAACCCAACGTCTCTTCGAATCATGGACTCTGGCCGCGCAAGCAGTTCAATGGCTGCTCCGGTGGATCCTCCGATCAGTGAAGGTGTTCCAGTAGCGGAGACGACGGTGGCACAACAAGAGAGAGAAGAGGAGCAAAACGGTTCTGAAGGGGAAAAGGAGGCTAGGCAGAATTCAGGCCAGGAAGAGGAGTCCGGTGAGAGTTCAGAGGAGGAGGAGGAGGCCGCGGAGGAGGAGGCCACCAAAGAGGAGGAGGGCACCGAAGAAAAGGTATTTGTACTTGCCGAGACCTAAGATCGCTGAAGCGATCCTTTGTATCGCTTAAGCGATTGATAGCTTTTACTCTTGGTCGCTTAAGCTATTTTGGATTGCTTAAGAGTAAAATCGATGAATCGCTTAAGCAATATAAAAGATCGCTTAAGCGATCTTAGATCTGGCAGATGTTGATTCTGTCTCGTACAAGATCTCTTAAGCGATCTGTAATCGCTTAAGCAATCTCTTCCGAGGCAGAACCAAATCTGCCCAGATCTATAATCTCTTAAGCAATCCTTTGTATCGCTTAAGTGATTTCAGATGCTTAAGAGATCTTGTATGAGGCAGAATCATCTGCCCATCGCTTAAGCGATTCTTCCGGAGCGTATTTTGTTTATATTTGATTTGGTTGAATTTTTTTGCTGATATTTTGTTTATATCGATTGTGCAGATTTTTCGGAGCGTAAACTATAGAGAGTACGGATTGGAGGTTGTAAGCGATACGGTATCGTACTTCCCTGTAAGGGTGACAGTGAGGTCAAGTTGGGATGTTTTAACGAGAATAACGGGGATTTTAGGGACAGTGAGGAATGGTGAAAGGAGATTCAAAGAGACTTGTTTCAGTCATTTTTGGGATATGGACACAAAATGGAAAAATACATTCTGGGGGTCGGGAGTGCATTATATGTTGCTGCACTCAATAAAAAGCAACAAAAAGCATGAAATGTGGTTCATGGTGGATGGAAAGCCAGTACGTTTCGGGATGATGGAATATGCGTTGGTGACTGGCTTAAGATGTGGGAAATTGCCAGGTGAGGTTGAGGAAAAAAGAATAACGGACAATACGGGAGTCAAAAGTTTGGCTAACAAGGTTTTGGCAGGGAAGAAGTCTATTAAGGCACAGGAATTAGAGGACAGGTTAAAAGATGGTGAGTTTAACGATTCAGAGACGTTCAAACTGTGCTTGGTATTGTCCTTACATTCGATCCTAATGGCTAGTGACTTAACAAAAGCCATTGATATTAATTGGGTGAAGTTTGTAAGCAACTTGAACTTCTTTAATGCTTATCCGTGGGGACGGGTATCATTTAAGCGAACCATAGAGTCTCTGCAAGCAAAAGACCTGGCGTTAAAGCACTCCCAATGGGCCGAGAAGAAAAGACCGGCGACGTACAATTTGTTTGGCTTCCCATGGGCAATGCAAGTAAATATTAATAGCTTTTTGTTATATTATTTTTAATATATGTGTTTGAATTATGATATGGACTGTTTTTTTAAAATGTAGGCTTGGATGTATGAGGCCATCCCTGTCTTGGCTAAGGTAGTGGGGAGGATTAGGGCTTCGGTTGTGCAACAGACATTTTTTAGGATGTTGTTTTGGCATGACTATATGTGTACCCATTCGGATTATGAGCAAATAGAGATTGAAATTCAATCAGCTCGGGTAAGATTAAAGGATTAAGCTTGAACATGCACTTGCTTTAAAATGTCGATTAAATCTGATTGATTTTGTTTCTTANGCAGGCCAAGTGTGGCAACAGCTGTTACACATGACGATCGTTTGAAGAGTGTACATTTACATTGTTTATTGAAGTTCAAGATAATTCTCTTTCTTTTATCATGGCCCCATTTCTCAAATTGAAAAAAATAATACTGCCGGTGACAATGGGGAAACTTGAAAATACCAACTCTATTAGGGTAACATGGAGACATTTCTGGAGTTACTATTAGAGAACCTTTTTTTTTTTTTTTCTGTTCACAGAGTTGGTTTGCGTTCCTGAAATCCAATGCAAGAAATCTTTTAGTTGCTGTATGTCTAATGTTTCCACATGGTAGCATCACAAATCGTATCTCAATCCAGTGCTTTAAAGTCTGGCTCGGCCTGGCCGGTTGAACCGGGACCCGAGGCCTTCATCGGGCCGGTTACCAATTTTACTATTTATTGAAAACCTTAGAAATTAGGACGATAATCGGTGAACAATTGAAGGTTGGGATGTTGAGGTTTTTGAAGAACAATCGAAGGTTGAGATGTTGGGGTTTTTGAAGAGGAAGGGTAGGTGAGTGCAATGGTGGCAATCGAGGAGGGGTGAGATGGGTTTTGATCATGAGGTTGAGAGCTCTGTTTTAAAAACCGGACCGGACCGGCCGGTCGGACCGGTTGGACCGTGAACCGGTAGCTTCTCCGGTCCGGTTTAGGTCTTAGGGGGGTTTTTGAAATATTTTAAAATTATGAGGGTTACTTTGTAATTTTATAGGGGTATTTTGAAGATATATCAAAAGTTTAGGGATTAATTGGTAATTTTATTGGGGTATTTTTGAAATAAATAAAAATTTTAGGGACCAATTTGAACTTTTTAGAGGAATTTTTGTAATATATTAAAATTTAAGGGGTTAATATGTAATTTTTTAAAAATAAAATATTGCTGACGTCACCGGTCCAACCGGTTGGACCGATTGAACCGTGACCCAGACAGCAAAACGGTTTGCCCTCCGGTCCGGGTTTTAAAACAATGGTTGAGAGGAGTGTTTTTGTGGTGATGGAGAGTGTTGTCATTACCGGAAACATACCCTATTTGCCCTGCAACAATGGTGTTTGGGGTGTTTTTGCAAAATGTCAAACCTGTAGGGACTTGTAGAATTTTAGGGGTGTTTTTGTTGGATTTCAAAATTTTGGACACCGGTTTGACCCGTTCCCGAGTGGGTTATTAAACACTCTCAATCAATATAAAAGTCCCTTCTGAATGAATTCCTCTTGATGCGTTTACAACCAATGTTCTCTGCAATTTTCAATTTCTATATCAAGATGGGGAACAATCTTTAACAACATATGCACGATTTTGAACAATAGCTACATGATACAATGTACAAGCCATGCTTTCAGCTTCTTTATTGTTCTACACGACTCTGCTTGATCAAAATCCAGACAGCTATAATACATGGAGTTGAAACCATAATGAGAGCCTGGATGATGTTGGGTCTGGTAATGTCTGGGAATAGGATGCTTCCATATTTTATAACAGCTGCACCCACAAAAGAACCAGCTCCTATTTTCCACAAATAGTTGACATCTTCCTGTTTTCACCAAAGAAAGAAATGCCATTATAAGAAGATGGACAATACTACACTTATAATCAAATTTTACAAACTTTCTCTCACAACCTCGACGTGGCAGCTCACAATTGGTCAGTTCGCAAATAAGTTCCGCCTGCTTGCAATTGGTTTTGTTTACCCAATTGCGAGCTGCAACATCGGGATTGTGAGAGAAAATTTGTAAGATTAGGTTATGAACCAATCTTTATTGTAAGAAGATGTATTCATATGTGCAACTTGAGCAAATTTATTTGAGTATGCGGCACACAAAAAGTGCATTATCAAGTCCTCTGTCGTCACTCATCCGGTGTTCATGATAATGGAGTCAACCTACACAAATTGCTTGTTCGGCTAGTTAGTTAACTGCTAAGAATCTAGGTCTTCAAATATGTCAAAGATTAAACAGTTTTACAAAGTCAAGCAAAACATACTATCATCTTCTTCAGAGACCGGAGTCATATGTTTAGAGACAAAATAAGTATTCATTCCAACGAATGCTGCTAGCCCCCTCATTCTGTTTAACACCTAGATGTTTTTCATAGACAAAGATACAGAAAATGTGTTGCAAATCTATCCAACTTCAAGCGAAAAAAGGATGGCAACAACATTATTACATAAAAAACACTACAAAATCCAACTTGTCTCTGATGATCACCATGATTTTGAAGACAGTAACAGAATGAATGACAAACATCAAAACATGAGTAAATAAAACATAAATTTTATAACTGCACCAAAAGTTACATTTGGGTCAAACCATTTAATATTTTTACATTGGTTCAAAGGGTTTAAAGAAACTTCAGAAAGGATAATTGACCATGGTGGTTTAAGTATCTAAAATCTCCATTCAACCAACTAAAACATAACAGGAAAAGCCTTCCCCAAACTCTTCAGATGTTTCACATTACCTCCCTAATCCTAAACCAGCCGAAAAGCTCTGGTGTTCTAGCTGATATGGCGACATATACCCCTAGAACCTAACTTATGAACAATTACCTTCAGCAACTGCTAAAGCTATCAGGAAAGCAAATGACAACATGTAGAAGAATGGTGAGACCAATTGCAGTTAGAGAAATATTAGCCGCACCCATCTTGCTAATTACACACCATTACTAATTTACAATGATTTTATTTTATTTTTCCATGAACTTATAACGAAGAATGTGTTGATTTTGGGTTAGAATTACACGAATTGTGAAGAAAAAATCATTTTTTTTTTTTTAAATTTTAGTAGTATGCAAATAGCTGAACCGTAGATAAAATTATGATACTGCATGCTATAAATTCAAGGATGAAGATCACCGTTCATTTGAAAGGCAATATATAGAGTGAAACCCTCATCAAAATAAGTAAAGAATTGAACTTGAAAGTGAACGGACCTGAGAGGACGAATCTTGGTCTTGTGGTTGGGAATTGTTGGAGGCTAGAACTGTGAATGGACGTTGTAGGCTTGACACTGGAGAGTGATTTGTGAAGTTAACGAGGAATTTAGTGGAACCCATGTGCTTCTTCGTTGGGTTTAAACGGCGGTGGGTTGCGGCGTTGGAGGTGTGCCTGAGCTTCGGTGCTCCGCCGGATGCGGTGGCTGAAGTAGCCATGTGTGTCAGAGCTGGAGTGGCTATCATTGTCATTGCAATCATTTTATGGTCACTTTAAAATCTGGGAATTTTGGAAAAATCGAAACTGGCAATTTTAGAGGTGCCCAAATATGTCACTTTTTATTTTTATTTTCTGTTTATATCAAAAAAATAATACATGACCATGATGGACCCTTGGACCACCGTCAACGGCTGAGAATAGACGCGAGCTTATCGGGAATATATCGTTTTCCCCCTCAAGGATTAAGAAACATGACAAATGCATCCAAGGGTTTTGAAAATGAGTAATACTACACTTACAAAGAAATTTTAGCTTACTCTTATAACACTTTCTCATCAAATATATATTTAGTACTTTTCATATTAAATATATAAAATGGTCAAAATATAACCCAAAACTCAGTTAACAAATCCTTTTTCCCCCTGTTTGATTCACTTTTTAAATCTCATTATATTATCTATCATATTGTAAAGAGTAAAAAACGTGTTTGTTTAATATCACAGAATTTAATTCAAAATCCAATCATATTCTATTAACTCAAAAATATACAATTATATTTCACAATAAAAGTTTAATTAACAACCCTTACCCACCTAAGCCATTGTTGGTCACCACAAACATCGCTGGCTGTCAATCGTCGTTAGAACGACGCACAATCGATCGGATTTGGTCGATTTGACCATTTTTTGCTAGATCTACGGCCAAAGATTTGGCTGTTGAAGGCGACTATATCTTGGCCATTGACGACGATCATATCTTGGCCGTTAATGATTGCCAGATTTTTGGTGTATATCTAGTGTTTCCGGCCAGTTACACGGTAGATTTAGTAAAAAAAGGCCAGATCGACGCACAACCGATCAAATCTAGATGATCGTGTGCCATTCCGATAATTATCAGCCATCGTCGATGGTGGTAACCGACTGTCGATAGTCGGTGGGGGGGGGGGGGGGGGGGGGGGGGGGGGGGGGGGGCAGTAATTTAACAAATATAAGAGCTAAATGTTTTCAAAAAATATACCAAACACATTCTCAAAATCATATCATATTTGATTTAATCATATCCTATCATATTTATAATAGCTTAAACTTTCTTTCTCCACCTAATACAAAATTAAGGGTGCTAGTTTGGGATGACTATTAAACTTTCGAAAGAATGAAAATCAAGCAGAGCTCAAACAGGTCTCATTGTAAGCATTTAAAATCAATCTTCCACTCCCCTGTAACATTAATCATTATCAAGTACAACATTTGAAATGAAGCATAAAAGAACTTTAATTTATTGAACATCAATTCCCAATCTCCTAGTTTCTTGTTTCATTACATACGTGGGAAAACAAAATTAGCCTCATCTGAAAACGTAATGGAAATTTCTTATGAGGATGTAAAAACAGTAAAACATATACATGGGCCAGTCCTCTCTTGTTTCCTTCTTGTATCGTTCACTTAGAATAGGACTTTCTCTAAAGCTCAATCTGTTTGAGAGTTGTCCTCTGCAGAAGGCTGTCTGGCGGTGCCTTTAACTTGGGGCAGCGTACAATACTCAAGCTAGCAAGACATGACTTACTGGTTTTTCAGGAGTATTTGTGGGATATTAGGATTAACTTGCGTGCATTAACTTAATTGTTTCATAAATGCACTTTTGGGGATCACATATTTTTTTATTGTGTTTTTAGGGCATTATTACTTAAAAATAATATTCGAATGAGAGATGATGTTGGCGAGATAATTTTTGACGACTCGAAACAAACGAATTGAGAATCAGAGTTGAATTGAAGAAGTTATGGAGTTTTGAAGTGAAGAAAAGATTCTAGATTACGCTCTAGTTTGAGCATGCCTTGGTTTTTTTACAATAATGTGGGTTTTAGATATTATATCAAGATGACTCTTGAACCGTTGGAAAGCTGATTTAAAGGGCCAAATTTCATATGTTTAACACTTTTCTATATTTCATTGTTATCATGATAAAAAATCACCATCTCTGGAGTGCTAAAGAATGATGCAAGGTTAGAAGAGGAATTAAACTATGCCGTAGCATTGTGCTGCAGCATAACAAGACCAGAACCAACCATGCTGCAGCACTGTGCTATAGCACAACAAGACCAAAACCAACCATGCTACAGCACAGTGCTAGGCACAGTCACGACAACTGGAAATTTTTCTTCCGTTTTTTACTAGGAAAACAGGGTTTAAGAGTCCTAAACTAAATAGAATTAAGGAAAATAAAACCTTAATCCTTGTGGGATATAAATAGATGTCTTTTAGCATTATTTTGGGGGATTCTTTAGAGCAGAATATAGAAAACAAAAATACTCAATAATGTAGAGACTAAGAGAGATTGAAAGAGGCTTGGATAGAAGAATTAGGGAAGATCATCATCAACTCCATTGTTCTACCCAAGATTTCCTAAGTTTTTCTTATCTCTTGTTGTTATTTTTTTATTCATTAATATAATTATGTTTTTATTCTTCTCCATGAGTAACTAATTCTTTTGTGATTGAGGGTGATTTCAAAGCCCTAGACATGTCTTGAAATTAATAAAATCTGCATCTTTTTATCTTTTAATCCCTACTGGTTATATGATTATTTCTCTGTGAATAGGGTTTAGATAGATTGTCTTAATTGTTTAAGTGCATAATTAAATTGTTAGGATTAATATATTAATGCCAATTTAGGTTGTTTAGTAGGGAATCGCTTTATTAACCTAAATAACTAGTGTAAAGTGTATGCCTGCATACATGGGGGGTAATCACTCAAGATAACCAAACCAACCATATGATTTAGCCTTGATTTAGTAGGTCTCTCACAACTTAATGCTTTTATTACTTTGAATCTAGAGATCGTATCCTATGTTATTTAATAAATAGGGAATTGGGTTATGACTATGTCTAGTCCAACGACTCAGTAAGGAGAGATGGGACTTATCAACGTTTGATATTTTTTAAGCTGATGTGATCAAGAGGGTAGAAAGTTAAAGAGTGCTTTTATTATATGTAATTCATGTCTAGTGATGGCGAATAAACCTTCAATCATGCTTCTCTTATTCATCTCTTTCGTGATTGTTTGCTTGCTTTACTTTGTTTAATTTTAGTTTGCTAGTTTTTGTTGAGTTTTTATAATTTGTGACAAACCCTATTAGAATTAGATAATTAATTAAGTTCACAAATCCTCTACGGGAAAGACCCTTACTTGCTCTTTGCTACTACACGACTTTGCATTAGAATTTAGTGAGGTAATATTAGGTGTTGCATTTGCACGCATCACTCTACCACATATATTAGTTAAATATGTTAGTATAATAAAAGAAATAGTTTTTATGTGCTTATAATCAAGTTTCTCAATAACATGAATCTCATTAAGATTATAAATTGTCTTTATGTCTTGCAAAGCATGGAAGAGTTGATTGTATCAATGATGAATTAATGGGGGAAAGGGCTTACCCACCCACCCCATGATTCAAAAAGTTTGTAACAAAGTTGATAGGGGAAAGGGCTCCACCATCACTACTTGTTAAATCAGCAAGCACCACATGTTTTAGTTAGATGATCTAAACACAAACCTTTCTTCAGCTAGGTTTTTGTCATCAGTCGAGAATGCAGATTTCCAACTATGGCCGATTGGTGATGAAAGATCATACTCCTCTCCTAGCACCAATGTATAAACCAATCCATGTTGCTCTAAATGTTCAACAAACTCAGGGTACCTCTATTTCATCCTTTCATAGACAATATGGCTCATGACTAGAGGAGTTTCTCTTCTGCTACCAGGCCTTACTTCACAGAAGAAGAACAACTTGGATGTAAACTCAGGAAGCTGTTGAATAAGTCTAGTGAGTCCAAAACAAAGACTGGAAAACTTAAAAATACTCAGTTACAAATAATGAATTTCTATAAATGAATTCAAAGGATTAAATGTTTTTTAAGAGTAAAAACAAAATTCAGCCACTAGCAAGCACCAGCAACAAGAAAAACCCAACAGATGGAAGTAACCCAACAGCAACCGCATTTGAAGGGGAAAAAAATACTCAACAGCAGGGCACCCCGCCTTCACAGTAACCCTCAACCCTCCATCAACTTGTAACCCACCTGCCCATCACCCAAACCAACCATCCAACCACCCTAGCACCAACAACACAAACAAACTCCCCATAGCCACACAAACCAACTCCAAGTGAAGGGTCTGCAGTAGCCACCAACCCCAATAGCAGATCAGCAGGACCACAAGAAAACACTAGCCCCATCACCCAAGCTCACATTACCTAGAACACCAAAACCAACACCCACCCTAGTAGGCCAACCCAACAACAAGTAACCCCAACAAAGGGGACTGCAGCAACCAGAACCCAATAGGCAGGACCTGCGAGAAGCAAAAACCAGCAGCGAACTAGCATCCCTCAACCAACTTCTAGATTTCCTATAGCATCAACCACTTTCACCACTACCCCACCAACTCCAACACAACAAACTATCTAGAAACCAATAGTAACCGAACGCCTCACCAGACAAGTAGCAAACAAAAATCACACCTTCCTACCCATACCCCGTAGCCCAGCCCCATTCCCTCACCCCAAACCCTCCCACAACAACCACACTAAGCTCAGCATACATACTCACCTCCCACCAGATAACTCCAACCACCCCAGACCAACAAGAATATTATATTTGGTTAAATTCAATTACCTTTGTGCAAATTTAATTCTAAATTTAAACTTTTAAGAATTGATAAAACAAAAATGAGTTAAATTACAATATCAATTTTATTGGTTTCAAATTATGGAAATATAAGAAATCATTGAAAAAGTGAGATCAATTAAATAAAAGCAATCACAACAAATAGAAATAAACGAAAAATTCTTTATGAATATGATCAATCATGTATTTAGAGTATGAAATTACAATTCGACGAACAAAAAGGATATGAAAATTACAATGTAAAACAAAATGTTCCACAAAAGAATCTTAACATCAGTCTTAGTACAAAGTTCATCTCCATTTTCAAATTCA